TAGCTTGTTTCCTGAGGTTGATGTTTCATAATCTTTGGTGATTTGAAGGCTCTGTGATAACGTGTGGCAGAAGCTGTCTCCTTACCCAAGGATTCGTTAGCAAGAGTTCCAGGAAGAACTGGAGGCTACAGTAAGTAGTGAGGAAAAACTACCTGACTTTCCAATCTTTCCCTCTTAAGTTTGAAGACGATGTTGTTATTTCAACGCCACCTACGTGCTTGCTAGGAATTGTTTTTTTCCTGTTGGGAAGGAAAGCCCAGGCAGGAGAATTTGGGGTGGGAGGTAGCACATGCTCAACATTCTTGGGACAAAATAGTGCTCGGTCCTTCCTTCCTCGCCACTAGGCCGTGGCAGCCCTGGTAGCCCGGCCCCTCCCCCTTTATTTTATTTTTTGCCTTTAGTGATAAAGAGAAAATGACTTTCCTGGGGCTTGCTGGGCAAGTTTGTGGAGAACATAGGCCGCAGGACAGGAAGATCAGAGGACGTGTAGCCTTAAGCACATGCAAGGGTCGTTTGGTTTTTGTGGGTTTCTTCCCGTCTTCCCTCTCCCCTCCCTTCCACCTATACCCTCTCCCCCTTCCCTCCCTGCCTCCCCTTATCCCTCCCCACCCCCTCCCCGCCCCTCTCCCCCTCTCCATCCCTCTCCCCCTCCAGGATCACCAGCAGTGCAGTGTTGGGCAAGTTAGGCAGTGTGCCACTTTCCTCACCGGTAAACTACTGGCTGTAACTGTGTTGTGTTCAGATAGGACCGCACTTTGCCAAAGGTAAGGCTCCATGCCAACGGTAGCCATTGTTAAACCAATTACAGACACCAAGCGTGGCTATACCCCAGCCCTGGCAGTGGGGTCCCGCCACCCACGCTTGCTGGGAACTGAGTGCGGCTCATGGGGAATTCCTTCCACCCCAGCAGCCGTTCTCGTGCTTCTGCCTTCTCTGCTCTTTGATAGTGGCTGTAAGTCAGATCTCCGAAATCATGGCAGAGAGAAGGTAATGACAGTGTGGGGAATGGTTTTACATGAAATCAAAACTATAGAAAAATCAACGGCCACCCCCTTGAAGGTACCTCGACTGTGCCCTCAGGATCTCTGCAAGGTTCTGGACTAGTATTCTTGCCAGAACATGTACAGCATTTCAACCATAATGTGATACAAAGAGGCTTTTGGGGCTTGGTCAAGAAGAGCCAGGCAAACATTTTCACATGGGTTTTACGGGAAAATAGACCCTGGTTTATTTGTCACTGATATGCAGGTTGTTCATAATTGGGGAATTGCCCCAACCGGCTTTTTTCCTGAAGATTTTTAACTTTCTGTTGTCAGGAGGAGAGAGAGCACACACAGACGGATCTAAGTATGACTGGTTACCTGTTTGTATTTAGAAACTGCCACACTCGGGGGCGCCTGGGGGGCTGAGTCAGCCAGGCCTCCAACTTCCGCTCAGGTCATGATCTGGAAGTTTGAGAGCCCGAGCACCTGTCTGCTGTCAGCGTGGAGCCACCTGGGTCCTCTGTCTTCTGCTCTCTCTACCCCTCCTGCGTTCCCTCTCTCTTTCTTTCTCAAAAACAAATATATAAATATATATATTACATATATATTAGGTATATAAAATGTATGTATATAAAATATAGATACATATAATACATAATACTACAAAAATATATCTAAAAATATATTTTTTAAAATATTTATTTAAACAAAAATAAAAGAATGTACCACACTTACTGATGGGAAGGGGGAGGAGGTGGATTTGGAATATTTATACCGTTTCATTTTTTAACTTACATATATGAAGGTGAGAAAGGGTCTTTGGAGCGAGATAAGATACATTTTTCATGAAATACTGGAAGAGACAAAGGTCTCAGATCACATCCATAAGATGTATTGTTATTATTATTACTCTTGTTATACAGAGATGGAAGAAAGAATGTGTAAGGGTCAAGGGCAGGCTACCCCAGGATGGGCCACTTTGGCATAAAGATGATCTCAAGTTAAAAGAAATCAAAACCCAGCAGACCGAGGAAAAGCTCTCTGACTCCCCCTTAACTGCCTAAATCTGGGAAAACTGGAAAGGAGAGCCTCTATCAGGAAGAGAACTATTAACAAAGATTCCCCTTTATCAAAGAAACTGATCTGCATCATAAGTCAACCTTGTTTTTCCAAACTTAGCCTTCCCTCCAGTGATCTCCTCTCCTTTGTATCCTCAGCCCCACCCCCCTCATAGAAGCTTCACATTGCCTCATGGTCTTCCAAATTTCATGTCTGTATGGATTTCCCTTATGTACGCTATTAAATTCAGTTTTTTCCCTCTTACTTTGTCTCCTGTCAATTTGATTCCAAGTCCAGCTAGAATGACCATAGGGCAGAGGAGGGCCTTCCTCCCTGACAAATGGTATGTGGTAATCAGATGCACTTACCTATTCATGATGCCATGAGGCTAGGCTGTGAAGCACAATCTGACTGCACCAGGCCAGGGGGGATAAGTGGGCGCACAACTTGGTCAGTGTTTCTGTCTTTACTGACCCCATCAAGTGGCCTCTTGACGATGGAGCAGAAAGTGTCAAGCTGTTGAGTTAACTGAAAAGGCATTTTTTATTTAAAGATCTCACTATTGGGGCGTCTGGGTGGCCCAGTGGTTGAGTGTCTGACTTCGGCTCGGGTCATGATCTCGTGGTTTGTGAGTTCAAGCCCCACATCTGGCTCTCTGAAGACAGCTCAGAGCCTGGAGCCTGCTTCGGATTCTGTCTCCCTCTCTCTCAGCCCCTCCCCCGCTCATGTTCTCTCTCTCTCTCTCTCTCTCTCTCTCTCTAACATAAATAAAACACACACACACAAATAAAGGGCTCGCTATTAATGGGAGTTTATTTTAAAATGTGTAAAATATACAAGGATAGATAGATATGTTTGTTGAAGATCAAGAGGGTGGCAAAACAGTTTGACAGCACCATAATAGAGACATGGAGATAAATACCAGGATAAACAGATTTTTTTTAAAAAGGATTGAAATGGATTTTTTTGGTGGGTGGAAGATGATGCAGGGAACTGCTGTATTTTAAGTCCTTAAATAATAAGTTTTTTTAAGCTATATGCATGGTTTGATAAAATAATCATAAGATATTCACAGAATATTAACATCACTTGAGGATTATGTAAACAGTACCTATAGTAGTACTATAGTAGTATAATTAAATGTTTTTATACAGAATCTGTGTATAATGGCCAGTTTCAGAATGTTGTGATTAGATGTATAGTTCTGTCTTTGAGCTATATCTGTATCCAACTTTCTACCTCTCTTCTCCTTAACTTTACTACTTATATATTGTAAATAATATTAAAGTCAGAGATCATCATCTTCCTACTTTACTACCTGTAGCATCTTGTACAGTATCTTAAGAGTAATGTCTCAGCATGAATAGACACTTGAGCAAAGAAGGATCCAGATGGCCAACAGACACATGAAAAGATGCTGAACATTGCTCATCATCAGAGAAATACAAACCAGAACCGCAATGAGATACCACCTCACACTGATCAGAGTGGCTAAAATTAACAACTCAGGAAACAACAGATGCTGATGAGGATGTGGAGTAAGGGGCACCCTCCTACACTGTTGGTGGGAATGTAAACTGGTGCAGCTGCTATGGAAAATAGTATGGAGGTTCCTCAAAAAATCAACAGTAGAACTCCCCATGACCCAGCAATAGCACTGCTAGGAACTTACCCAAGGGATACAGGAGTGCTGATGTATAGGGGCACATGTACCCCAGTGTTCATAGCAGCACTCTGAACAATAGCCACATCATGGAAACAGACCATATGCCCATCAACCTGATGAATAAAGAAGATGTGGTATGTATATATACAACAGAGAAAGATTGAAATCATGCCGTTTGCAGCAATGTGGATGGAACTGGAGGGTAATGCTAAGTGAAATAAGTCAGAGAAAAACAGATATCATATGCGTTCCCTCATATGTGGAAATTTGAGAAACTTAACAGAAGACCATGGGGGAAGGGAAGGAAAAACAGTTACAAACAGAGGGGGAGGCAGACCATAAGAGACTCTTAAACACAGAGAACAAACTGAGGGTTGATGGGGGTGGAGGGGTGGGGCAGGGAAAATGGGTGATGGGCATGGAGGGCACTTGTTGGGATGAGCACTGGGTGTTGTATGTAAGTGATGTATCACAAGATCCTACTCCCAAAGCCAAGAGCACATTGTATATGATGTATGTTACCTGACTTGATAAAAAATATGTGTGTGTGTGTGTGTGTGTGTAATTAAAAAATAAAAAGAGTAATGTCTCAGAATATGGTTGATAAGTACGTTTTCTGGTTTGTTTTTTTGAAAATCTTGCTTAAAAGTGCACAAATAATACAGATTCACTCTAGAAGAAATAGAAAATACAGGAAAGCAAACAAAAAAACTACCATCAGCTAGAAACTCCTCTTTCCATCTTGATAACACTCCTCCAAATGTTTTCCTGTGTACTATATGCAAGCAAAGAAATTTGAAATAAAAGTTATCCTATGTACACTGTATTCATTTTCACAGGACAAAATAGAGTTTTCAGGTCAGCAGGTATGTATGATTTTGAAGGCTGTTTGTCATGTTGCCAAATTGTCCTAAAGAAATATTTTATCAGTTTTGGTCCCCATTAGTAGAGCAAAGAATAGTCACTTCTCAACTCTTTTACTAACTAATGGGCAGAAACATATTTATCAGAGTTGGGTTCATTAATATTTCTTAGAATAAGAGTGCATTTGAACATTTTAAATATGGATATAGTTTGTCATTTTGTCTTTGATTTTCAGTTTCCCCCCTTCGTATAGTGTTTCTTTTTAATTTTTGTGTGCTCAAAACAATCAACCATGTTGTTTTTTTTATTTTAAAAAAAGTTTTCCCCAATTTTGAAATTTTAAGTTTCAAATCACATGGGTGGAATAAGCTGATCTTTAAGAATCTAGTGGGGTGACTACCTCTCAAATTTATTTTTCTCCCCATCAGGAAAGCAATCGAAGAATTGCTAAAAGAGGCAAAACGTGGGAAAACGAGAGCGGAAACAATGGGACCTATGGGTTGGTAAGTTCTTGAGTGATCTTCCTTAAAACGATATTAAAGACAAAGTCTTGGCGGGAGATGTAGATACATTAAGTCAGTAGCAGATGGAGGGAATGTAAAACTGTGGCTGTAGAGGAAATCACCCAGAGGCAAGCCAGAGAGTGGGAGCCCTGTTTAGGGCCAGCTGCGGGGCGGGGCTCTGCCAGAACCCTGAGGAAGAGGCTGTGGGTACGGAGGGAGAGCATCTGCGAAGCCTCATCATCGCTTCAGTTCACAAATCCCTGGTGGATATGTAGATTCTATGCCCACAGGCACCATCTAAGAGTGATATTAGTGTTCATTGTTTAAGGGTCTCTGTTTTGTTTTTTAGTTTATATTTATTTATTTTCAGAGAAAGCCAGCAGGGGAAGGGCAGAGAGAGAGGGAGACAGAATCCCAAGCGGGCTCTGCAGAGCTCAGTTCCTCGAACTGAACCCTGAGATCATGACCTGAGCTGAAATCAAGAGCCTGACCAATGATGCTTAACCAAATGAGCCACTCAAGCAACCCAAGGATCTCTGGTTGCCAATAGCCCTTGGCAAATTGAAATGTATTTTTAAAATTCTACCTGTACATATTTTGATTATGTGACAGTTTAGCTGTGTAGAACTTAAGTGTGCCTTTGAAGTGTCTGTATGAAATAGAGCTTTAAAACTTCCAAGTTTAGAAACAAAAGAGGACTTTACCCTTAAGAATTTAATCCTAAGCATTTTTTTTTATTTTTTTTTTTAATGTTTTTTTATTTATTTCTAGGAGAGAGAGAGACAGCGTGAGCAGGGGAGGGTCAGAGAGAGAGGGAGTCACAGACTGAAACAGGCTCCAGGCTCTGAGCTGGCAGTCAGCACAGAGCCCGACGCGGGGCCCGAACCCACGAACCGCGAGATCATGACCCAAGTGAAAGTCGGACGCTCAACCGACTAAGCCACCCAGGCGCCCCAATCCTAAGCATTTTTAAGCTTCACTTTAGCAATAACGTATGCAATCATGTGTTAAATATGCTGATTTTAGATCTTTTATCTACAGTTTAAAATCCACAACAATGGAGGATTGTGGGTGATTAAAAAGGGTAGAATATAAAAATGAAGTAGAAGTTAGGCTTCAGAATATACCTCATTCTATAGATTTGACTCTTAGAACCATGCATATGATTTATATAAAATATAAAAGTTAAATAAGTAAAGGGAAAAGTCAGTCCTTAAAAATCAAGCAAAATAAAACAAACAGACCTAGAAAGCCATTTGGTGAATGACATAGGCGCAGACAAAGCAACTACATTACGTGATCTAAAATTTGACTGTATTTTGAAAAGAACTACCAGGAAATCTTAATTGTTTTCAGTCATCACATTGTCAATAATATGATGATGTTATTCTGAAAAATATTATATGACGGGATAAAACAAATATTTATTTGCTATAAATACCAAGATTTCCGGCATCAAAGGATACAAATGTAAAATCAAAGTTAAACCTGTAATCCTAAATGTGACTTGGAAATATAAGTACAGAGCCATGCTAGATTTTCTCCTTTAAAAAAAAAAAAGAGAAAAGCTGTTTCTAGCTCTCTTCATGGAAAAGTGCTAGAAACGCTGACCACCCACTCAGAAGTGCCGAGTGCTCCCGGCCTCCAGATGTGGTCTACACACACTCTCTCTCTCACTGAAAGAAGGCAAGATCCTTCGAGAAATAACTGACTGCAGATCTGAGGCAGTGTCTGGAGTTTGCCAAACTGCAAATTAGAGGTCACAGTCACCAAGACCACCCTCATTTCTTACACCGACTGCAAATTCAGGGAGTTCCCCAAAGCACCCTCAGCTTCCTTAAGGCACCAATGAATTCATACAATTCACGGAAAACTATGATACTCGCAGTTACAGTTCATTAGAGGGGAAAGGATACAGATGACCATCAGCCACAATAAGAGACATAAAGGGTATTGTCTGAGAGGGTTCCAAACACGAAACTTCTGTTGTCCCCTCCCCGTGGACTCAGGACACCTTACCCACCCACCATCGAGGTGTGACAGAGGGAAGCTCACCCAGGCCTCAGTATTCAAAGTTTTCATTGGGATTTCAGTACTTAGGCATGATTGAATGCTCACGTGGTTGGCCTCAGTCTCCAGGTTACCCAAGACCCCACGACCCAAAGCTGTCACCCTGAATCACATGGTTGGGGGGTTTGGGCCTGGCCAGCTTGCACTCTAAGACCATCAGGCATGGCCTGCCCCATCCTAAGATCCACGCGAGGCAGAGACTTTCCTGTCCGGTGTGACATACCTCCTAGAATTGAGATCCCCCCCAGAAGCCAGCCCTCTCTGTGGGCAAGGCTACAGTGTTACTGCGCAGACAGGGGACGTGTACGGGGAGCCAGAAAATCTTGTCACACCAGAAAGCAAAGAAGCTGTCGAAGCCTACGGTAGAGATGGCCGACAGACTCAGGAAGCAACCTGAAAGGCTCCCACCAGAGGGGATCATGTGACCACCAAGAAAAATAAAGCTATAATGACTGAGATTCATAAACCGTGTTCAGATCCGCAAGGCCATCGTGATAATCACAAGAAACCTAGTGGTCCCTCTTGGAGAGTGCTGTGGAACCAAATCATTACTCATAAAATCAGCAAATAGGAAGAATAAAACGTTTATCCTCTTCCCTGTACAAATTGTACCAAATCATTGATGAAAGAAAACTTCCTTGCGGAACTGCACCTATTAAATGTAAAAGGATGCTATGGGGCGCCTGGGTGGCTCCGTCGGCTTAGCGACTGACTCCTGATTTCAGCTCAGATCATGATCCACGGTTGGTGAGTTTGAGTCCCACATGGGTCTCTGCACTGTGACAGCGCTTGGGATTCTGCTTTCCCTCTCTCTCTGCCCCTCCTGTACATTCTCTCTCACTCTCTCAACATAAATGAATAAACTTTAAAAAAGTTTTTTTAATATAAAAGGATGCTCGAATAAGAGCACCATTTGAATTCTTAGCAACTCAGTAAGAAAACAAACAATCCAATTTAAACATAGACAAAAGATTTGAACAAACACATCATTAAAAATGATACAGGGTTGGCCAGTCAGCAGATGAAAAGAAGCTCACATCTTTAGTGATCAGGAAAATGCAAATTAAGGCCTCATTTAGTTACCACCTCAATGCATGAACTAAAATATCCAAAATAAAAATAAAAACAGACTGACAGTACCAAATAAAGATGAGGATGTAGAACAACTAGAATGTTCACACACTGTTGGCAGAAATGTAAAATTGTACCGCTGTTTTGAAAAGTAGCTGGCAGTTTCTTATAAATACCGTAGAGAATTCTTCTACCCAGTTACCAGAGAATTGAAAACTTAACCACACATACAAATCTGCTCAGTACTGTTCATGGCGCTTTTATTCATGACACCTAAACCTGGAAATAACCAAGGGGTCCCTGGGTGGCTCAGTAGGTTAAGTGTCTGACTTCGGCTCAAGTCATGATCTCCCGGTTCATGAGTTCAAGCCCCGCATCGGGCTCTGTGCTGACAGCTCAGAGCCTGGAGCCTGCTTCTGATTCTGTGTCTTCCTTTCTTTCTGCCCCTCACCCACTTGCATTCTGTCTGTCTCTCTCTCAAAAATAAACAAGCATTTTTTAAAAATTTAAAAATAAGACATTTATGAGACAATATTTGATGATATCAGGGAATTAATATTGATTTTTTAAGTGTGGTAACGGCTCTGCTATTACTTCATTTTTCAAAAGCTCTTATCTTTTAGAAATTCATTCTGATATATTTATGGATAAATGATGTTAAATGGAAATAAGTGAGTCAATCTGATGTAACATATGTAATCATCTTAGATTCAGTAAAATACCCACTTCCTGGAAGGATAGACAGATTCGGTAAGATAAAATGTATAGAAATATTGTCCCTGGTTCCTGGCATGGAGCAGTCAGTCAGCAATAGGTAGATCTGCTCTTATCTTTTTTCCAGCCCTCTGTCCTTTCCAGAGATAAAGGTGTCTCTACTAATGTGGATCAAGTTAGTACATACGTTGGTAGGGGCGGGCCACTTTGGTGTAAGGCAGGACTGTGACCAGGTTGACTGTAGCCACTGGTCCAGTCTAATACCTTGTGCGACAGAATCAGGTTGACTGTAGCCACTGGTCCAGTCTAATACCTTGTGCGAGAGAATCAGCATAGAGCTAGGTCATGAATTCAGATGGCTTGACAAGTGAGTATGAAACTGTCAGTCAGGGCTCTCGCTCTGTGAGGAGTGTTCAAGGGCATCAGTCATTTCTAGGCAGCTCTCCAAACAAAAGCCATTTATATCCCGACAACCTTTCTGCCCCTTACTGGCTGAGTAGAACTTTCTGATCATGAAAGAACTAGCTTATCCGCGTCAGCTCCGTTTCCCCTGAAGAGAGTCCCACATGCATGGTCATCTCGACGTTGGTGGGAGTGTGGACGTGCTCACTGGGTATTATATCAGTTAGGCCGGCAGTTCCACAGAGCAGTCAAGGACCCAGGTTCCTCCCAGTTTCTAGATCTTCCAGCCGTTGAGTATGATTCTTTTCCGCACAGTCTCATATAATGGTAACCATACAGTCCCCTCCACTGCGGTCAGCAGAAAGGAAGGGAAAAGAAGGCACGCCCCCCCCTGCCCTGTCCCTTTAAGGACACTGCCCAGAAGTGGTGTCCACCATGTCTACGAATACTCTACTGGCCCGAATTTCATTTCGTGCCTTCACCCAGCTACAAGGTCAGGGATTCACGCTTTGTTTTCTTCCAGGGAGTCAGGTGCCTGATAAATATCTGGGGTTCTCTTACCATAAAAAAAATGGAAAAGTGGATAGTTGGGGACAACTGATAGCCTCTTCCCGTGAAGGAAGCAGAAACATGTTTAAAAAAGGGAGTACAGGGTGGCAGGCTGGGGCACCTGGGCAGCTCAGTAGGCTAAGCATCCGACTCCGGCTCAGGTCACGATCTCGTGGTTTGTGAGTTCGAGCCCT